CAAGATACATCTAAGGAGACACTCTCTAATCTCATCATCCACTGTAGGTACTCCAACATTTTCTTGTATATGCTCATTCCATATTCTATCTCTACGGGTAAAACCCAAATTAAGTCACAAACCGCTCACTAGGTCTATTGCTACTAAAATTACACCACATATATTCAGTTTTAGATCTACTCTAGCGAAAACATTTAGATTATATAGTTGACCTCCATAATTCGAGTTTACCTTCACCTCCTTTAGTTTAGTGAGAACAAAACGCATACAAGTAAAATATCATCAACAAAAAACATACAACAAGATGCATTCTCTCGCAAATGTCTAGGGAGAACATCAATGAAAAAATACATAAAATAAAAAATAAAAAAGCTCACCTCGGAGGCGGCGTCGCGCTCGGGAAATAGAAGTTCGTCGCCGGCCTTACAGTGGGGAGTTCGTGGGCGGCCTGCGTGATCATCGACGGCTGGAGACAGCTCGGTCGCGTGAGAGGGCGGGCGGAGGAGAGGGGCGAGCGCGGCCGAAGAGAGAGAGAGAGAGATGACGAGATGAAATGAAATGGTAGGCTCAGGATGGTTAATTTTAGGGCTTTTACTGGCAACGTTCTGGGGGCTCCAACCGCCGGTAATAAAATTACTTAACACCGACGGTTTTAGCCGCCGGTAATTTTAAGGCTGACTGTTAACCCGACGGTTTTGTGACCGCCATTATTTCCGGCAGCATAAGCTTGCATAACGGCCGGTTGGGCCGCCGGTTAATCCAAACCGCCGGATAAACCGTCGTTAGTACCGACGGCTAGACAACCGGCGGTAATTGATGAATTTCCTATATTGGGCCACAGATTATTGTCGAACTTCGGCTTGGCTACCGACGGATGTCGGACTTCTGCCCGACTGCCAATTGACGTTAGATTTATTCGCAGCTACCGTTATTCGCAGCTACCGACGGACACCGGACTTCTGCCGGACCTCCAACTGACACCGGATTTCTACTCGATCACGGACAAACTCTGGACTTCGTCCGACCTTCAGATTTCAATTCGATTGTTACTATCGTAATCTAATCGTCCTCAATTTCAAGAACGAATCAGGCGATTGTAGTTTACTCAAACAGTAGTAGAAACATTTCAATTGGGTGTGGCCCCGTGATTTTTCTCTTTTCATGGGTTTTCACATAAAAATTCTGGTGTTTCTTTTTTTTTTTGGCTGGATATTCGTACAATGTTAAGATAAAAAAAAATCTAACTCTACCACCGTGTATACTCTAGCCCGCAATAATATTATTTTATATTATCATTCTTCCTTCGTTTTGCTAAAGACTTGGAAACTTAAACAAAATTGTAAGGGAAAAGAGAGGGAGAGGAAAAGAGAAGTTAGGGTTTTGAGGCTTTAAAGTGAATTTTGCTAGTTTGTCTTGTTGTAAAAGTTGTTTGTCACATTGTAATGTATTATTATCATATTTTTTATTTTAATGATTTTTTGTATTTGTGTTTTATGCAGTTTACTTTGATCAAAACTTACAAAAATTACAATACCTTAATTTTTAGCAAACTTTCAGCATATAACTTTTGTTATTAGATAAATATCATCGATAGAAATATTTTGACTGTAATATATTAAATTTTTATAAGTTAAAAAGCAAGCTATGATTTTTTGAAGTAAATGCATAACATATAAATTAGATAGATTTTCGTACATTTTTTGAATTTTTGCATTTCACATATGGCATTGATAAAAATATAGCATTTGCATATAATCAAGAGAAGATTGATGGAAGGCTGGATGTTAACATGAAAGATAAAGACTGATACTAATTTGTTGACAGTTGGGCCTAATTAAGACTGATATCCAACTGAGTGACAATTGGGGTTAACTAATACCAATAAATTGATAGTTGGGCTAAAATTAAGATTGATACACATTTGGATCATAATTAGAGTGGAAAGACGAAAATACCAAATTAAAATTGTTGCATTAGAAAATTGAAAGAAAAAGCTTACAAATATTCAATAAATGCATGCTTAATAATTTTCTTTTATTTAGTATTTTTAGAGTGAATTTTTTCCGTAAATAAAGGGTCGAAAGCACGCATATTTCCTTGGAAAAAATCTTTCTACTTGCGTGACATCATTTTACACGGCAAAGTTGAGGAGTCTGCCAAGTTTCCACTCTATCACCTAGAAGAAAAACAATAGATTACTCGATAGGACATCAATTGCTATATTATCCAAAACAGGACAGTTAATCTTTGTGACCAACTCAATTATTTGGTCAATTGAGAGAAGAAACCCTCATTTTTTACTTCATGATATAAATCAAAACCTGATTGCTATTGTAGTTTTATCTTTTTTTCCCTTTATGTTATATTTAGCCACATTTCAATAAAAGTACAGCTTTTAAACAAAATTTTATGAAGAATTCCTTGTCCGATTACAAAATTTTTATGTTATATTCACCTCTTCGTTAGGATTTCATAATCTCAAGACAAACTTTATAAAATTTTACATTAAAACTTGTTTTAGCGAATAAAAGATATGTACGTGCGTACTAATCAAATACTTTAAGATTTAACTAAAATAGTACTGAAAGGATTCTTTTAGCGGATGTGATACTTTTGATCGAATTTTATGGCCATGTCTATTTCTTTTCACTTAATAATCTATCAAGAATTCTTACTAAAGTTCAATAAATATCATAACTATGATGAATATCAAAACTCAAAAGTATCACATATTTGTTTTAGATTGTCATGCTAACACATTATCATATATAGCTCTTACTATCAGCAATATCATTAATATAATAATTAATTTTACAATGGATCTTTTGTTTACATTGCATTTTATTACAGCCTTAATTATCCTTCTTACATCTCAAATATTACAATTCATCTTATACTATCAAAATAATTATAAATAATCATGCCGACTTTTTAATCTGAATTTTGATATTAAGATGATAATTTGTTGAATGGAAGCAGAAGGGTGGTTGTTTTGTAAATAAACAACATTTATGTGTTGCACAAAAAATAATCTCAAAAAATAATATTAGATTAATTTGTAATATTTAAATTATTGTTCTTTTTTATTATTTTTTAAAGGACAAAAATATATCTTATATATTTAATAAAAGGGCAAATTTATTATTTTTATAAGAATTTAAAAAGAGTTATTGAAGGGATGGGCAATTATGTATGGAGTAGGGATCAAACCCGTGACCGTATATATGGTCAAGAACTAGTGTATGAACTATTAGGCATTAGCCCAAGGCTTACTTCATTTTGAATTGAATTTTAGGATTATTTATAATTGAAATTAGATAATCAAAATTTTAGAACATATTAATTAGACTCATGTTTTAAATTATTTTGAACTTAAATTACGATTCATAATTCAATATATAAGTTAAGGATGTTGTCGTTTTAATATTTTATTATGAATTAAATGCATTTGAAAACTGTTTGTTCCTTTAATTCCTCTATTATCTCTCCCTCTCTCTCTCTCTCTCTCTCTCTCTCTCTCATGGTATTCCCTCTAATCTTATGCACTCTCTATCTCTCTACTTTTGATCATTTCTAATTAATATCATGGCCTCTATTTGTTACTATATTTTTCTCCTTGTAGAATCACTTGGCTCCCCTCTCTCATATAAATATTGGTCATTTTCTCTCTTTAATTAGCACAATGTACTATTCTTAAGAAATTCAATGAGGCATGAATTCCTAAGGGGTTCAAAATTTCTTCTTTTTTTACAATATACCAAGAAGCTTGGGGAGCTTCCATCCCTAGAAAATAAGTGAAAACTTGTGATTCGTTAGTACTAATGCAAGATTATAAAGGTGAATACTTATAATGAAAGAGTTAAATGCAGTGTCATAATTGATACATATAATTTTGTCACTTTTTTAAGAGATTATGCATGAAGGGTAAGCATTGAATTCAATGTCAAAATTATGGACTATGTAGGCCATATAAACATTATAATTGTAAGTTTTACAATTATGTAAACTTTGGAGTTACTTATCTTTCATATATATTTTGAAGACCCTCTCAACACTTTGTCTTTTATATTCTTTTCCTACAAAACTTTGGCTCTTGAACATGTTCTTTTTCATCGTTAACATATGGATCTTGACCATCATATTAAGACCCTTCTCAAGTTCCCCTAGGCCTTGGATTTCATTGACATCAATGTTCATATTTTAATTCCTCTTGATAACATGCATCTAAGATTCCCTTTGCATGCCCTTTCTCTTATTTTAAAGACACTCAACTTCCCTTATATTAGCAGTTTATTGATGTCTACTTATGTCACCCCCTAAAATCTAAAGTGGAAGAATTTTTTTTTATATTCTTTTTCTCTTTATTTTCTCTAATTTATGCAACCAATATTTATTCATTTAAACAAAATCAACTTCACATCTAGAGCTGATTAATCGCATTAAAGAAAATAAACAAACAAAACAGAAAAACATAATTACATTACTACTATCAATATTTATATTCTACTACAAGCTAATTAGCTATGTATGAGTTTTCATATGCAAATTAATTTGCATTCTCCATTTCAAGAGGGGTACGTACATAATATTTTTGCTCCAACAAGTCTTATAAACAAAGTTAGCTAGAACTTTTTTTTTTTGTCTAGAAAGCTAGTAGTTATGAGCCAAAATAGTACTCATATCCTTAATTAGATTCAACTACGCTAAATTTATGAATTATAGTAAAAATATGTTTATTATGTAATTTTTTTATTTCTAGGGGGTTAATGTAACAATGTTCACTTGTGGATTTACTAGTTGTTCACTCCCAAAAGGGACAAACCTAAGAAATTGAATAGCATATACTAAAACCAAGTTAAGGTTTTATTGAGTTTCTATGCGTCGCATGTGATGCTGCAAGGCTCAAAGGCAAGAAGGAAAGAAAAGGAATGCATATTAAATTAATGAATGTAAAATCAACAGAAGAAGACAAAAATTAAAAGGCCGGGACCAAATTATACCTTCTTCTTGTATGTGTCCGTTTGGGTACTGATTACATGATACTGTCAAAAAGTCAGGCATGCACAAAGTATTAGCCCAGTAAAATCACACCCATACTGAATAACACATAAGATTTTTTTTTTTTAAGATGAGCAACGTAGTATAATTTATTGAAATTAGTATGATGATAAGCATTAGCCTAGTAACTTCACACCCACCCCGAATAACAGACAAGGTTTTTTTTTCAACATGAGCACCGTAGTATAATTAATTAAAATTATTGATAAATCTGAGCGCAGGCCTCGATCAGGAGCTAAATCCCCAAACCACTCGGTCATGCTTCTAATAACCGGCATATGTATATATAAGTTTGCCTTTAAAATATCAGAAGTTGCTGCTTGTAAATGCTCGCTTAATTTCTAGCACATGCACTAGTATCTCAACATTGAATTATGTAATCAAAGTCCAAACAAACCAACACTCACTAGTATTAAATAAAGTATGGATTTCATAAAAAGAAACAATTACAAATAGAAAAAAACATTCATGCACTCTTAAACTAGCTAAGAGACGACCTAAACAACGAAATTTGATAAAAGACAATAAAGAGCTTTCATATGGGACAAGCTGAGCATAGATGGTATAGTTGGGATCTCACTTTTCTATTCCGTACAAGCTTTAATGCCTCATCCATGTTTTGCTCAAGACCGCGCAGTTCCTTGATGTCCAGTCCCTCCAGATCTTCCCCCATCCTCTGCCTTCTCACGACAACCCAAAAAAAAATCACATAAATTAACACTTAATTCCCAAAGCCAAAAAACAAAAGTAAACAAGTAAACGCGTTAGTAGCTTTATCACTCCAGTACTCTTCTCCCTTAGCCCTTCAATCTCCCACCACCCACCTTACTTCCCTCCTCAGTTTATGATTGATCTCCTTCAAATGGTTCAGCGTATTCTGCATCTTCTGCTCACATTCAAAACACAAAACAAAACTCCATCAATCCCTTCTCCTCCCAAAAAAAAAAAAAAAAAAAAAAAAAAAAAAAAAAACTCATAAACAAATCTCTTACCTCGTACTGCGCGCTCCACAAGTTAATACCAGATAACTGCTGGTAACGATCAAAAACCTTCTTCGTTCTGCAAATAGCTAAGCGTTAAAAGCCTTATAAACAAATTTAACAAAAGATAAATCCCAAAGAAAAACAGCACTCACTCCGTCGACGGACTACAGTACTCAGAAAACTTCCCGGTACTCGAGAACATGATCAGAGAAACCTCAGCATCGCAGAGAACAGTGATCTCCTTCGCCTTCTTCATAATCCCAGCCCTCCTCTTCGAGTAAGTCACCTGCCGATTAGTCGGATTCTCTATTTTCTTAATCTCTATCTTCCCCCTCCCCATCCTGATCACTTCTTCTCCTCAACTGCTTAAAAGAAAGAAAAAAGGAAACCCTTAAAGCAAGAGAAGCAATGGGTATCGATGGAAGAGATGAGCAAGAGAATGATATAAAGAATGAGACTGAGAAAAAAGTATCGGCGGGACTTCCTTTTATAGAAGTCGATGCGAAAAGCCGAAGTTTCCGGAAATGGCTGGCCATTGCCCCGCTGGCGAAAGTGCAGCTCGTACGACCCCGCGTGCCATGCATTGCCCTGTTTAAGAATCCGTCGCCTTATCATTCACGCTTCATAATATCAAACCCTATTGGCAAGGCTTTGATATTTTATAATTTATTTAAAATACTATTTTCAAAAATATTTATTTATATTTTAAAAATTAAGTATAGCATTATTATAATTAAATTGCTTGCATTTCATAATTACTTGGGGATATTTAGTTGTGGGGTAAAGTTTATCAAATCCGATAATTTTAAAAATTCATAGGCTATATATATTCAAAGAAAATAAAACTCAAATAATTTTATTCATTTAGTTCATTGGTCTTCAACTTCAAAACTATCAAATTAGATTATTAAAGCTTTCTCCACCCACAATTACTAGCTCCCACTCATCAATCATCCCTCATTGTGGATCCCACTGTAGAAGAGTTCTCTCAGGAGAATTTGGATTCATAATACAAACAGCAAGAAGGAGTAAAGACAAGAAGGAAATATTATTCATATACATTACAGAGCTAATACAGGTCTATTTATAGAAACTGTTTACTACGATACATAGTCAGCTACAGATGTCCTTGGTTTTCTTGTTGCTGTGTAGCTTATTTCCTCTAATATCCCCCGGCAAACTAATGGGTCGCTGAGTGACCGTTAGTTTGGCTCTGAGTTGATGAAATCTGGGTGTGGTGAGAGCTTTGGTGAATATGTCTGCAGTTTGGTCTATAGTGCTTATGGGAAGAAGCCTTATTATCTTTGACTGGATATGATCTCGGAGAAATATGTGATCTATTTCAATATGCTTCGTCCGAGTATGAAACATTGTGTTGTTTGCAAGTGCTATTGCAGAGGTGTTGTCGTAGTAGATATCCGTATATAGAGCTTGCAAAACTCCAAAGTTTGATAGAAGCCTTCGAAGCCAGATTACGTCCGCAGTGAGTGCCGCCAGTGCTCTGCATTCTGATTCAATTCCGTTGATGATCGAGCCACCGTGTGTTGTTTCTTGACCGTCCATGAGATGAGAGATCGGCCCAGAAAAGAGCAATATCCAGAAGTTGATTTGCGCGAGATAGGGTCGCCTGCCCAATCAGCATCTGAAAAAGAAATGAGATGTAGATCAGATTTGATAATCGGAATGTCGTAGTCAGACGTACCTTGGATGTATCGCAGTAATCGTTTGAGGAGATAAATGTGTTGAGTATCTGGTTGATGCATGTGTTGAGATAGTTGATTTACACTATACGCAATATCAGGGCGCGTAAGTGTTAAATATTGTAAGGATCCTGTAATTTTGCGATATGTGTTCACGTCTGAAAGAAACTTGTCCGTTGGTGGATCCAGAGGAACTTTGGTGCACGTTGGATTGGAGATATTATTGCAGTTTGTAAGTTGTGCAGATTTTAGGATGGACCGTGCGTAAGGTTGCTGTGAGAGAAAAAAATTGTTATCAAATATGTCTATGGTTATACCGAGAAACGCATGAGCTTCCCCTAAATGCTTCATTGCAAACTTGGCATTTAATTTGAGCAGAATTTGATCCATGATACTTGTGTCGTTTCCATTCAGAAGAACATCGTCCACATATATTAGCATGTATATTTGGGTGTCCTGCTTACGAAAAATTAAGAGAGACGGGTCTGCAGAGCTGTGCGTGAATCCCATGTCCACTAGTGTCGATGTGAAAACATTATACCACTGGCACGGAGCCTGCTTGAGACCGTATATTGCCTTGTGGAGACGACACACATAATCTGGATTTGTGGTGTCTTCAAAACCACGGGGTTGTCTCATGTAAACTATTTCATCTAGATTCCCATGTAGAAAAGCATTCACCACGTCTAGTTGTTGAACTTTCTAATTGTTATTTAATGCAATAGCTAGGAGAATACGAATCGTCAGAAGTTTGGCAACGGGGCTGAATGTCTCTGTATAGTCCAGATCGAATTCTTGATTATTCCCTTGTGCCACAAGTCTTGCTTTGTATTTGGCGATGGAACCATCCGCATGAGTCTTTGTTTTGTACGTCCATTTGCAACCAAGAACTGATGAGTTGTTCGGTTTAGGTACCAAGCTCCATGTGCCTTGCTGTTGAAGCGCATAAAATTCAGATGCCATTGCGTTCCTCCAGGTCACATGTTTGCTGGCTTATGAGTATGACGTAGGATCCTGCATTGTGTCGGATGAAGATTCCTTATGTAGTAAGTCAAGACGATTTCGAGGTTTTAGAGACCCCGTGCGCATTCTAGTGACCATCGGATGTATTGAGCCCTGCTGAACTTCCGGCTCCGAAACAGAAGACGGTGCCAGTGTTTGCGGAAATGCCAGCTGTGGGGGACACTGCACGGAGTTTTCTCTGTGATTTTGTTTCCTTGTATCATGTACATGAATGTGCTGTGTTTGCTGAGTTGGATAAGGAGTAAGGAGACCAGGCGGCATGTTAGTTATCTGCATAGGAGTAGTAGATTTAGATGCTAAAGAAAAAGGAAAAGAAGTTTCATTAAATGCTACGTGTCTGGACATGATGATCCGATTGTTTTGGGGATTTAGACATTTATAGCCCTTGTACATGTCTGAATACCCAAGAAAAACACAGCTTATTACTGTCGGCTGAAGTTTGTGACGATACTTAGCCGGTATGAGTGGGAAGCACTCGCAGCCAAATGCTCTTAGGTGTTCATAATTTGGCTTGATACGATGAAAAAGTTCAAACGGAGATTTGTTCTCTGTGTTTGGAGACGGCAAGCGGTTTATTAAGTAAACCGAAGTGAGTGCCGCATCTGGCCAAAACTTATAGGGAATCGCCGCCTTGTGAAGGATGGTACGAGTTGTTTCGATGATATGGCGATGTTTCCTCTCCGCCACACCATTTTGCTCCGGTGTATGAGGACAAGAGCTTTGATGTGTTATGCCGTTTGTTCGAAGAAGAGATGCAAGTGAAGTATTCATGTATTCGCCACCTCCGTCGGTGCGCAGACATTTGATTTTCCTAGATGTAAGATTTTCAACTTTAGTTTTAAAATCAGTGAAAATATGGACAACTTCTGATTTATGTCGCATAGGAAATAGCCACGTAAATCGGGTGTGATCATCTACAAAAATTACATAGTACATGTAGCCAGAATTAGAAGCCGTGGGGGCCGGCCCCCACACATCAGTGTGAATCAAATCTAGCGGAGCAGTGGATCTATGATCATTCTTATTAAAGGAAAGTTTGTGATGTTTATCACTATTACACTATGTGCAAGAAATGAAATTACAATCTATTTTAAGAGCAGGATTGCAAGAAGCAATTTTAGTTAAAGTCTTCCGGTTGGGATGTCCCAAGCGGTCATGCCACAGAACAGATCTACCAGCCTCTGAATGTAGAGCCACCTTGGGGGCATTATTTGAAGGTGTCTTGATATTGTATAGACCGTCAGTGCAAGGTCCTTGAAGGAGGATTTGATGAGTCTGCAAATCCTTAAAATAAAAACCATTAGGATCAAAAATAATAGTTAGATTATTGTCACGAGTCAGTTGAGAAATAGATAGTAAATTGTATTTCAGAGATGGGGAATGAAGAATTTGAGATAGAAGGATCTTACGAGAGGGAGTCGGTAGCAATCCCTTCCCGGAATTTTCAAAGCTAACCGAGCTCCTGTCACCAATGGTGATGTTATCTGTGCCATTATATGGAGCTGAGATGGACAAATTTTCCAAAGAATTCGTCATGTGAGATGTCGCTCCCGAGTCAAGAAACCAGTCCGTGTATGGTAGTGATTGACCAGCTAAAAGAGCCCGATTCTGATTGTTCATTTGTTTAGGTAGATATTGCGGATTCAGGCGATGCCAGCAATCCGGCGTGGCATGACCTCTTTTCAAGCAGATCTGGCACGTAATTGCGATCTTGTTTGAGACTTCTTTGTTCGCCGAGAGAGATTGAGAGGATCTACCACGAGATCATCGTCCTCGGCCACGAGACACAAACAGGGCTTGGTGAGGGTCGTCTGTAGTGACGTTGCGAGTTGCATCTGCCGCAATGTGTATGTCTTCGCTGATCAGTAAAGAATACAGCTTATCAAGATTCAGCGGAGTCGTCATGGTGCGAATCGAGGTCTTGAAAGATTGATACGAGCTCGGGAGACTGTTGAGAATGTATAGAATGACATCCTCCGTGTCCACCATCAACCCAGCCGCTGCAATTTGATCTACTATAGATTTGATATCCGTTAAGTATTGGATCACAGTCAAGTTCTTGAGGGATATGTTGTGTAACTCATTTTTCAACTAAATGATCCGTGATCGATTTGTTGATAGAAACCGTGTGGCTAGAGTCGTCCAGATGGAAGAAGTCGATTCAAGATTAAGAACATACGGAAGAATCAAAGGTGAAATCGTAGCACAGATCATCGCGGCTAAGTTCTGATCCGTAAACATCCATTTGGCATATGCAGGTTCGGAACATCGATCCCGTCCGATTTCGTGATGGATTTAGCCGGAGTCGGAATCGAAGGATCAAGAAACTCCTCAAAGCCATTTGCGCGAGTTATCTTGAGGATTTGTGATCGCCATACTGAGTAGTTATTAGTTGAGATAGGCGATTGTACAAAGTTCTTGAGATTGCCAATAACAAATTTGAGAGAGGAGGAGATTACTGTAGATTCCGAGTTTACTGTGTCGGTAAGCTCCGATGGTTGAGAGGTCGCCGACGCGTCCATGGTCCCTAGATTATCGGACCTTTTCTGATACCATGTATAAGAGTTATCTCAAGAGAACTTGGATTCATAATACAAACAGCAAGGAGTAAAGACAAGAAGGAAATATTATTCATATACATTACAGAGCTAATACAAGTCTATTTATAGAAACTGTTTACTACGATACATAGTCAGCTACAGATGTCCTTGATTTTCCTGTTGCTGTGTAGCTTATTTCCTCTAATACCCACTAGCGGCCACAACCCCTCATTGACTACTATTCTAACTGCCACTCAATAACTATCGCTCATGATTCTGCTCTGCATCAATATCGGCCACCGCCACCATTCCCCTTAAATCATTGCCATCACCATATCGCTGCCCATCAACTACCCCTCATTGCCTTATAAATAATAATAATAATAAAACATTAGTTTATTTTACAACAATCCAAACATTAAAAAAAATTCATAAATTTGTTTATCAACCAACACACTTCCTAAATTATTTCAAATACATTAATTTATTTCAAATTATATATAAATTAAACTTAAATTTTAAATATTTGAGACCAAATAGATCTATCTTTTAATTTATGTAATATATATATATATATATATATATATATAATA